GCCCCGCCCCGCCCTTGCCTAGGCAGCCGGCCGCGGCAGCGTGAGCGGGCTGTGCTTGCGGGTGGGTAGGAGGACAAGCTGGTAGCTTTAGATCTATAATTTGTCGCAGTTTGCAAGTAGGCCCCCTTTCCCTGCCCTCCAGCTTCTAAAAACAGCAGAGAAGGTCCCTGCTTCCCCGCAGGAGGAGGAGGACGGCATCCGTTTGAGCTGTGTGTCAGGCTCAGAGCGTAGTGCGCGGCCCTCGCGCCTTCGCCTCTGCCAGCCCTGGGGCTGACACGGAGCCCTCGCGCATGGCCCTCGTGCACAAGCTCAGCCCCAGCGGTGCCATCAACGGGACACGGCGCTACGGGACCCACAGGAACTGTACGAGCTGCATCCCACGAGGCCCTGGCTCCCCTGCGGCCCTGCCACCATCACTTGCCCCGGCACAGAGAGGGCAAGACGCCCGCAGGAGGACGGGTGTGTCCCTTGCCCGTGGCGCTCCCTGACCTTCGCGTGCCTGGAAGAGCAGGAGGGCTAGTGCTAATGATCCAACCAGGCCTCACTATGCGTGAAGCCACATGTGGGGCACGGCCAGCCGGGGCTGCTTCGGCACCCGTGGCGCCTGTTTTGCCTGCGCAGAGCTCTCTGCCCTGCCCTTTCTGCCTGCGCAGAGCTGTCTGCTCTGCCCGCTCTGCCCATGCGCTGCTGTCTGCTCTGCCTGCTCTGCCCGCTCTGCCTGTGCACTGTCACCCGCTCTGCCTGTGCACTGCCACCCGCTCTGCCCGTGCACTGCTGTCTGCTCTGCCTGCTCTGCCCACTCAGCCCGCCCATTCTGGCCTTGGCAAATTGCCATCTCTGCCCCTTCAAAGTGAGCAATTACACCTGGCTTCGTCAAGCTCCATGTGATCTCGGGTTAATAAGTACACAGGCCTGTTAATTCCTTAGTGCATCGTAACACCGAGCACTGGAAATCATCAGTCACGTCCAAACACATCACGCTCAGAGCAGGTAACAAGAAACTCTTTCTTTCAAGCGGCGCAATGAGGCCGGGAAGCTCGTGGCTGTCCGGAGCCGCGGGGCGAGCTGCACACGCCAGGGGCACATGGGTACCTCGGCTGGCGCCTGCGGCCACC